TCAACAAACATCCTTCTTCCATTTTGAAGCTCGAAGTGTTTACTCTGCCAAGAGTCACAAACCTTATCTAAAATCTAGGAGACACTTCTCAGTCACCTAAAGCTGTCACAATATCATCACAAGCTCAGGTAGGTTGGGCAGCTGAAAACACCTTGAGGACGATTTGCTCTCCTGTCCCTGGAGTGCCAACTGTGTCTGCGGCTTTTTGCTCCAACTGGGTCCTTGATCGTCTGGGCTAATTGCTTGCTTGCTTGGGCTTTTTTTCTGCACTTGTGCCTTTGGCTTCAAAACGTGGCAGATATTGACTGAAGTTCGGGAGGGATAACGACAACAAGACGGTCTCACCTAGCTGTTTCCTCACCGTAATCGTTACTGAAAATAACCATGTCTAACAGAAAACTTGTCCCTTTTCTCTTGTGCCTATCTCCACCTTTGCCCCCTTGGCTAACCCCTCTCTCTGAATGGGGTTTAGGCCTGCTCGTCCTAGCCCAAGAGGCCTGGCCCTTAACCAGGCAGGTGAAGCCGAAATAGTCCTACTTAAAAACAAAACTCAAACATTCGCAAAGCATCTGATTCTCGGGCGTAGTGGGCCCTCACGAATACCCTAGCCCAGTGGCTCTCGATCCTGCTGCTGGCTAAGCCCTGTGTTGTCTTAACCACGGGCTCATTTGTTTCAATTTTCCCGGCAAGACCTTATTTAAACTACATGAGATCTGTAATTGGTCTGAACCCCATTCTCATTAGGTCATTAGGTCATTACATTATTATTATTATTAGGTCAACTAATTATGTCACTCTCACTTAGGAGTGCCAGCTAAATCCAGGAAAAACTCTGACTCAGTGTGGGAGTTGTTTTCTACCTGTGTCTGTTCATCATCAATTGATCGCCTATTAAGAGCTATGTTTTCAGTGTATGTACTGTGCATAACTATCTACCTCTTCCAAAGCACAAGCTATTTTAAGGATATATAAAAACACAATGTAGACAATCTAGACCTCAATCATAACTTTGGGGGGCATACGTTTTGGGGGCGGATTCTGAATGTGAAGCGTTCAGTCATAATCCCACAGATGGACGTAGAGATATTCTTCTCATACAGTACTGTGCAGGACTACTATGGCAACAATAAACAAAAGTGTGATATTTTTCCTGGAGTGTGAGTTCTGACTTACAGACTGGTAAATCATCTGCCGGTTTAGTGGATTTTTGCTGATGGATGTTTAAAAAAAAACTCATTACAACAATCATAATCCTTCACAAAGACGCCGATTAGGACGATGACTCATAGTTTCCAAGTTCTTGTTTTGTGTTAGCTGAATGGGAAAGCACCTGTTGCTCTTCTGACAGATCTGAAAACCCTAATAATTTATGAGCGCCACTCCACTTTGTGTAGGAAGCGCACAAAAGGAAAACTAGGAGTGTCTTTTTTTTTTTTAAGAGGCATGTTGTATAACACAAAGGCACATAAGAACTGACGGTAAAAAAAAAAATAAACGGGAACATCTGGAGTTCTTGGTACTGTTAGGTTTACAGGCAGATCAACAGCTGGAAGATTCTAGAACACGGCGTCCTGAGCGAGCAGCTCATCTGTACTGTAGCGAACACCTGTCATGAGTGTGAAATTGGCATCCTGCTTCAAAATATTACACCATTTCCCATCACAACTGTACGGGACAGTTCTAGGACCCTCCAGATATGTATTGATAGTGTATAGACCACAATGTGTCCTTTCTTTTCTTGCATTCAAAGCTTTTTAGGAGAAACAATTATTTCAGGAAATTTCGTCTAGTAATCCCAATTCATGTTCAACTAGGCATCTATGTTTCTGTGAAGTACTGTAAGCTCTGTGTACTACACATACTGATAGGCATTAAAAAATGTAGCAACAGAGTGTTGAAAACAATAGCAGTTGTCGCATTTTAATGCCTCAGAGTACAGGAAGTATGATGCTTAAGATAGAAACTTTTGTTCATTTTTTTTAACTTTGAAATGTAATTTTCAACATTTAAAAATTTCGAGGAAGGGGAAACTGCGGTTTCTCAGACCAGTTATTAAATCTCTGTAACAAAATAAATGGTGTAGAGACTTTCAAATTAAACACAAAATCATGAACTTCTTGAAAGTACTTTAAGTCACCATGTTGTCACAAGCCCTGGTCTCGTCACAGGTGAAAGCGAGGGTTCCCATGAATTGTGATGTGATATGGCCCTTCCTGCTCACTAGTCACTGCAATGTCATTGAATAAATATAGGTTGTGCAGCAAACCTTTCACCACGGAAATATTCCAAAGTGACCTGCATGCAGAGTGAACAAGTAGAATTTGTCTACAAAACTGCCTCGAAGTCAGAGCAATATTTCTATTGGATTAAAAGAGATGTATTCACAAGCGTGCTTATTTACAGTGCCACAAGGCTGCGTCACGTCACTGAAAGTTTTATTGCCTCATTCTGAATTGCTGAATTGCAAAACATGGCGCCGCACAGACCTGGAAATGGTCTATTTTGTGGTGTAAATCGGAGGTTTGACTCCTTAGTGTCTCCTTTTACTTGAATTGTGGTTTGAGAAGCACTTATCAGTGCTGATTCTTTCTAATAGAGAAATATAAAAATAGCATTGCAGTTCCCCTTTAAGAACATTCTTATGCTCATGTTTACATATACTATACAGTGTAATAGCAGACTAGTGTTCTTTTTGTGACACAGATTGATTGAGCTTTCTCAGCCAGATTTCTGTCAGCACGTTCATTATTCGCTCCTGTGCGTGAGTGAAGGCTATAGTACCATAGAAAACAGGGTGCCTGATGAGTTGCTTTATTGCACGAAATGAAAACCATGCTGCTGTTTTGGGGCGTTCCCTAGCAAAGAAGTACACTTCCCCACCCCCTCTTCAGGAATGTCATTTGGATTTTGTTTTGCCTTTTTTTTTCCCCACTAGGCAGCTTCAGAGTAAAAAGATATTGACAACAGAGTGATTAGAGTCATGGACACACAGCACAGCACATTTTCTGTTGAAGAGTTGTGAAGTTTGAAATTTTATAAATTAATTTAAGTCTGTGGCTAATTGTACAACGGGTAAAAACTGTGCAGCACTACCAATGTGCAGCCCCACCTGGATGATACGACGGAAGCCCAGGTGTGCACATTATGCTCACCACACACCAGCTCTCAGTGGGGAGGTGAACAGAGTGATGATGCTAATTCATAGATGATGGTTATTAGGAGGCCATGATGGGTGAAGGCCAGGGGGAAATTTGGCCAGGACGCCGGGGTAACACCCCTACTCTTGTCGAGAAACGCCCTGGGATTTTTAATGACCACAGTCAGGACCTCGGTTTTACATCTCATCTGAAGGACGGCACCTTTTTACAGTCTAGTGTCCCCGTCACTATACTGAGACATTAGAACCCACATAGACTGCAGGGTAGAATGCCCCCTACTGGCCCCACTAACACCTCTCCCAGCAGCAGCCTTAACTTTCCCAGGAGGTCTCCTCTCCAGGTACTGGCCAGGCTCACACTGCTGAGCTCCAGTGGGGCTGCCAGCTATGAGTTGCATAGTGATATGGTTTCTTCCAGTTGGCAGTCTGGCTTGGTGTGAACACAGAGACCAGTTGGCCTACTGTAGCTGCCAAAAAAACATTTTTACAACTTTTTCTTTTACCTCCATCCGTCAATTTTCTTCAACCGCTTTATCCAGTTTGGGGTCTCAGGGGAGACACAGATAAACAGTAAAAGTGTTAGTAAAGAACACAGCTTTATGGATGCACAGTGTTCTGGACACTATGGAAGAGATGTGGGTGAATCCATGTATCTAAAACATCCACATGAATAAAGGGCTTCAGAAATTATATGGCTATTCAAAAAGGCATAAGTAGTATGTTACAGATCACCTATTTGATATGTCAATTATGATGCAGCTATATATAATTAAATATTCAAATATATCATAAAGGAATAAGAGACTATTACAGGAGACTTCTTCTGTCTTCCTTACAATAGGGATGTATGCAACATACAGTAGGATGAAACTGAAGACATGGTTAATGATTGATTTTAAACACCCATGAGAAGGAATGACTTGATCTATTTTTATCAACCAAGTAAGAAGTGAGAACCATCAAGCAAGCTACAGTAAGATCATAATATGTAATAATTTGGAATATATTTTTGCAAGAATACAACCAGTACAGGCAAAGTCCAAGATAAATGTCTATAGTATCAGGTATGCAGACTGCAAAGGAGTTCAAGACAAGCAAATATAGCCATGTAACCAGAAGAGAATAGACTGGAAAATATTCTAAAACGTTTCTGCTTGAAAAGCATAGTAGATTCATTCCACGCGTAAATCAGAACAAGAAAATAGAGGTCCAAATGATGCAACAAATCAATAAGGAAAAATAAAAGGAGAAAGACAGCCCTTTAGAAAACAATTAAAAAATAAAAGGATTTGGTTTTCTGAATCATGGCCAATACAAAGAAAAACTATTATAGCAATACAATGCAGTTACAACAAAGGAACAGTAACAGATCAAGTACGTAGATTAATCTTAAATTGCTTAGGATAATAGAAGCTCCAGGGCTTGATTCTGCAGATTCAAGAAAAATTAGATGAATTACAGTACGGAATGGGCTATCACGTGACAATATCATTTAATTTACATTCGTCTAAGTGTTAAATGGACATAGCAGAAACTAAAAGTGTTTTTATGAAAAATGTAGAGCCTGAGGAAGCTATTTTACAAAACACTTCAATATGTATATTTTGGTGCTCTGGAATCAGTCTAGTTATAAAATCTGGGCTCTATTTAAGAGTAACCAGCTACTGTACCTTCCTGGGTTGACAGGAGTAATGTCATTTTCTACACCAAGAGGCTCAAACAACTGAATCCTTTTAGTCTGGGACAGCGAAGGCTACAAGCAGACCTCTTTCAAATATTCAAAGTCAACTGAACTGAGCTCTTCCAAACCAAAGGGGGAAACCGTGTTTAACTTATTCCGTAGACTTCCTTCCAAGATGACTGTTTCAAGCCAACTGCCACACTCGACCTCCCCGGACCACCTGGACCCCAGCCTTGGAAAGTATCTTTCACCCAGACAGTCATCTGCAACTCTGACAAGGCGAGATCTGGAGAGTTACAGTAGGTAAGTGGAGCAACAGGTCAAGGTCAGGCTGCCTAATGCATTGCACCTTATCTGTGCATCATAAATGTGACAGAATGACACTAGTAGTCTTGTGTATTCATGTTTAGTAATGGTGAAATTCACTTTAGCATTTATGCATACAGTGAATGCAGAAATTAAACAGTGTACAGTTCATCTTATTCTAATGTCATACCTGCAGCTCCTTGTGTTTATGGCCCATATCCTTCACTCAAAGCAATCATCCATTTATAACACACAACCTGTGCTTAGAATAACCCATTCCGTGTGCGTAGTTTATCACATTTTCAAAGGGAGCACGACTCGATTTGCATGAACGCATGAGGGAAGAGCTCAACAGAGCATGAAACCACTTCCATTCTCCTGTAACGAAAAATGGCTGGGACTTCCCAATCCATGCCTGCTGTCGTCGTGCTAATTCGTTTTTTTTTTAACCCTGAGCAAGAAACGAGGAGGTATCGACCCAATTAATGTCCTATTGCATTCGTTTTCAGTAGGACGCTGTAAGATTTCTCTGGGCGGTTTTGGGTTTCAGATCTGACATCTGCTTGGGTTTGCCAAAACTATGGTGGACATGATGGTAAAGGGAAAGCAGGTTACCCCTTTATGTTTTGGCAGCTTCCAGCAATTTAATTCTATTGGGAAGAGGTGTGGTCCCTGATCTAAGACAAGTTAAGTTTAGAAATACCAAAGTCGTGTTCAGTTCTGTATAGGGGTAATCTGCCTGATGAGTATTTTTTGGCAGGAGGTAAGAAAGACGTAAAACATGAATGGCTCCAAAAGGTTTCCCCAGCCGCAGCATTATTGTTCCAGAGATTTATGAAAAGGAATACCTATCTCATTGCCGGCAGCCATATCACCCTGCAGCTCCCAGCTGGCAGCCCCACTGGAGCTCAGCAGGTGTGAGCCTGGCCAGTACCTGGATGGGAGATGGGTGCTCACCCTGCAGTCTGTGTGGCCAAATTTCCCCCCTGGCCTTTACCCATCATGGCCTCCTAATAACCCCCCTCTCTGAACTGGCTTCATCCCTCTGCTCTCCTCCCCACTGAGAGCTGGTGTGTGTGAGAGGACTGGAGCATCATCCAGGTGGGGCTGCACACTGGTGGTGGTAGGGGGATTCCAAATTACCTGTAAAGAGCTTTGAGTGGAGTGTCCAGAAAAATGCTATATAAAAT